TTAGAATGCAAAATGCTTCGACTTAGAAGGTAAAACGATTCGAAAAATTCGATGTTCGGCAGAAAAAATCAATCATTTTCAGTGCAAAAACTTCAACTCTTGATGCGAACACGGTGTTCTGCTTGAAAAAGCTGAATCATAGCCAATGGACGTTTGAAAAAAAAAATGGAAATTGAAATGTTCGACACTAATTTGGATATTTGTGTGATTTTCGGTTGAAAAAAGTGATTTGGTCGGGTGTGATTGAATTAAACATTCTTCTATTTAGATCTGTAATTGTGTACTTGCCTGAGTAACCGCCGCCAGTTGAGCCTAGGTTGATAACTCTAATGACTTGAGCTGTAAATGCAATATTAAAATTAGATTATTCAATTTAGAAGAACGCTCACTTTCATTATTTTCTCATGCCTAAAACGTAATCACGACGATTTTGGCTAAAAACATTCGTCAATGCATTGCTATTCATGAAAAAAAGTCGCTTTGCTTTGTATACAATTGCCGATATGGGACCAAAGTTGAGCAGGAAAAAAATATATTATTCAATGAGACTTGGAAATCCGAGCACAAGCTCGTAAATTTGATGATTTATAGCCTTTGGGCACTCAACTTATGAACAAACAAGATGATTGTGTGCCTGTGTAAATACCATTCGATATACTCAATTTCACACACAGCAATGGAGCACACAAGCGACGAGTGACGAAGGAGGCGAGAATACGCAAAATGAACAAGAGCAACAAATATGAGCTCAGCACATTTTTCGAGTAAACGCATGACATTTTTTTCTTGCTTCCACAGAATTTCGGCATGAGTTTATCTCAATTGCTGGAGGTCTTAGCATTGAAATCGATTTGAATTGAGTTTGGAAAGACAAAATCAGTTTTTCATCAGTTTTATTTATTGTCTTACCCGGTTGGCTGTAGCCGCCGCTATATCCACCATGACCGCCGCTATATCCACCTAAATATGAAATGGATTTTTGAGTAAACACTTTGTCGACAAAAAAGAAAGAAAATGCTTGAAGAGAAGACAGAGAAATGAAGTCGAGACAAAATTTTTTTTTAACTCGAAACGAAAAAAAGGTATCAAATGAAAAAAAACACCATTCCGAGCTAATGACTAAAAGACCGCTTCGTGCAAATTGGAGTGAATGCGAATGGATTTTGTTTTGATTTATGCTAGCGTTGATAACGTGTCTGCATTGGCAGTGCAATGTTTACATAAAATCAACGTTTGCCACTTTCTTCCAATTTAATCGCTAATCTGCGAATTGTTTTCGCTGAACATTTTGAAAGCATTGGATCAAAACTAAAACCAAACGAGAAAAAACAAAATTGGCTAATAAAATAAAATTCCATGCTATTTACCGCCATATCCGCCACTGCTGTAACCGTGTCCTGTATTAAACAAAACCAATTAATATGCGTTGCGAAATATGAAAAAAATATCTTATTCAAATTAACCAATTAATATGGTTGGGTTTTTTCAATTGCTGATGCTTTCAACTGTTTCTAATCGGTTCCACTAATTAAATTCCATTCTTCCGAAAATCGCTTGGAATCTTCTAATGCAAATTATGATACGTGAATCAATCATAAATTGCTCATCAAATGAGAATGGCTGTCGCTTTGAATGTGAAAAAAGAGTTATATCAGGGTTTTTATGCGCTTTTTTTGACTTAAAAACGGATAGATGGACAAAACGAAGGGAAAAATGAGCAAAATGATCAAAAACATCGCTAAATGAAGGAACAAATGACGAATTGAAGGAAATAATTAGACAAGTTACGTTCAAATTGAAGAAGTGAGACGAAAAAACCACTTTCAACCCAAAAAAATCAGTGGAATTGAAAAAAGTTGATAAATGAATCGAAATGAAGAATAAACAGTTAACAAATGAAGCGAAAAATCGCGGATTAGAGGATATAATGGTTTGGAATACAAAAAAAATGACAAATTTAGTGAAACAACAGTGTTGATGTAACAAAAAATAAAGAAAAAAAGGTGCAAATTGATGAAGTATTCGCCGCCGTCATTATGCATGTCATCGAAATTATGACAGATCAATGCTGTAATTTATCCATACTGCGATTGCATCCTTGATAATGAAACTCGTTGCGAAAGGTGTGACTACGTGCGATTCGTGCGATTCGTGCGATGCACGTTTAGCGCTTCTGAATTAATTAAACTCCATCTCTCATCTTGAATGCATTGCATCATGTGAGAATGACCGGATTGAATTGCGTTCCGAAAAGTATTGGTTGAAAGTGTAACATTTCGATTGAATCGTTTCTTATCGCATGCGTTGGCCCTTGGGCAAATGGCCCTGGCGAAATGACGATAACCACAATTTAATGATGAAGTCACACTCTCACGATGACGTAGTTGTTAAATTGGATTCACGTAAAACCAAAAGTGAAAGCAACAGAAAAAAGAGTACTTTTTAGTTGAGATTGCACTTACCACCGCCGTAACCGCCGCCGCCGCTATCTATAAGGAAAAATTCAACTTTTTAGCTAGTTGTTCTTGAAATTGTTTTAAATACTTATAATTACAATGGATTTTAATCCGAATGAATGACTCTCTGTTCAATACCACTTAAGATAGGCACTTTTTAGTTCTTTTTGTCTATTTTTTTCACTCCATTCGCTCTTTTAAATCAATATGATTAATATTTAAACTTTGATTATCCATTACCTCTTTGAAAAGAACGTAAAATTCAATGAAATCGGCTTGAATGGATTGCTTTACTTTAGAATGAATTGGCAAATATTAAAAAAAAAACAAATCCGCAAAAAAGTACGCTTCTTTCGATGATTCAAAACGACGTCTCAATTTGCGACAGTGAATTAGAAGAGGAGACTTGTAAATAATTTTTTGCAGCATTGAAATTGAAATCTGGTAGCTCGTGTCTCTAATGGGCTACATTTGGAATAATTAATTTTTAATTTGAATAACTCCGTTCATCCACCTTGTGTGTGTGTGTGTGTGTGTGTGTGTGTGTGTACGGAACAAGTCAAAAATAGTACACACAAACAGAAATTGCTGTAAATTTAGAATTGTTTGGGCTAACTTTGAATTGATTGAATAATGAACAAAAACAGAAAACCGTTCGATTTAATTCAATTAGTTGAGCTGAAAATGAACCGAGATTCTAAGTTTTTAGCATAAAATTCCGTAAACGTGATTGATAATGATTGACGATCGATTTATTTTGATTAGCCTGAAATAATCTTGATGATCGATAGGACTTGAAAATCGGAATAGAACATCTGGGAAATGGAGAACCTGGACTATTGGAAAATAGGAACAATGGATGATATAAAAATGGGTAAATATCGAAAGGTACACGTTAAACTCTTATCTCAAAGGTAATTCGTTAACTATAGTAATAGAGTACTCTGAGATACTCAATTGATCATTTATTGAAGAGAGGTACAGCAAGACCCAAATTGGAATGAAAAATCAACATTGTAATTAGAATCGAAATTTTCAGAAGCAGATTTTGAGCTTCAACTGTTTAGCTGTTGCTATCATTGTTTTTTCTTGCTGTTGTATGCAAAGAGTTCATTCTTTTGTTTACTGAAGAGTTCAAACAGGAATAATGGCAGAAATGTCAAATTAAAATGAAATATTTCAAAACACTTACATCCGCCACCACTGTATCCACCATGGCCGCCACCGCCACCGCCTCCGAGTAAGTATCCAGCCTCAGCATAGGCGATCAAAACAGCGCACAAAATAAAAGCCTGCAAAAATCAAAACAAAACGAAATTGTCAACACTTTTCCTTCCGAAAAACCAAACTGAATACAGTTGAATCGACCAAACGATCGAAAACTAATCTAAACTGAATTGAATGGAAATGCCCAATTTAAACGAAAAAAGCACTGATATCATTTGCACGGAACTGATATCATATTTTGGTGGACAGCGCAGATAGATAGATACCTTCATGATTCCTTTTAGTTTATCGGACAACACGAAACTGATGAAGACTTGTGGACTGATTCACCTTATATACACAGCGTCCGCCGTTGAATGTTTCAGTGGCGAGAGAGCAAAAAACAACAGATACCGTGACCCAGACCAGAGTCGAATAGGCAAGAATATGTCAGTGTGCTATGCTCTGTTTTTCTCTCTCTTCATTTCATTGTTTAAATGTGCGAATAAAAGTGATCATCGTTGGAAAAGGAGAATAAAACCCGTCCCGATGATATAATGTATGGTCGAAAGATTATTCATTAGCTGCACGATTGTAAATTATCTTGAATGGAGTGAGAGAAATATCAAAACCAAACTGAAAAAAAACAACAAAAAACAGTAGCGACAGCATTGCACATTTATGCTGCCATATTTTGGACAAACGTAACACAGCAAAAAAAGAGAAGGTGCTTTGTAATCGAGCGACATTGTTAATTGAGGTCGAGTTAAATAAATTCTTTGCAATTAATTCTAAGGTCTATGCCATTTTTGATAAGCGTCTTGAGCTCAGATGATTAAATATTCCGATTTTTTTTTTGATGTGATTTGTGATAAATATGGACAGAACAACCGAAGAATAGATGGTCACAACAAACACAGGAAAAAATGGTCAGCGACACAGAAGAATAGTAACCGATGGATGGATCACGCATACCATATTACGGTTTTTTTATGGTCACCATCAGCTTTTGTAATAATTAATAGAACAAAATCCAGTTTTTGCCCGCAAATGAAAGTAAAATTCATTTTTTCTTTGTTCGTCGCTTTCGATGATGCATATTCGATTCGCACACACTCGTCAATTTATTAGCCAATTCGTTTTTTTTTTGTTCGAATGGACAATACATAAAAGTGACTGGCAGAGGCCAAATGTCGCTCTCAGCGACATATTCACACACATATAACCTGTATTGGACTCGCAAATAATTCTTGCTCACCTAAACCGATATCGGAAAGGAAAAGCCGACTTATATGTATACCCTCGTTTACATAATCGCTTTTAAATGATGGTCGTCAATTTTTTTTCGTCGCTTCTCTCCGCTTGGAATGAAAAAAAAATGCGGAAAAAATTCATGATCCATATCGACGATATGATATCGTTATGGACAACGAGGAAACATCTAGATTTGATCGTCGATAAAGAAACAAAACAAAAAACCATAAACAAAGAAAAAGGTGAACACAAACATCAACCAAAAAGTGAAGACAGATAAAGCAATAGGTCAGTTTTGATTTAAAGTTTGAATTTCATGTACGACGACTAGATATGCGGCTTTGTTTGCCAATTTTCGCAAGTCGTCGCTTTTATTCAAATTACGAATTTTTCATGTCAATTTGGCCATTTCTACATCATTTCGCTTTTTTTAACATAAACAACCGGCATTGCTGCTGTTGTGCATTTTGTGTTTTCAAGTGCTGACCTTTTGCATCGAGGAGAGAGATTGAGAGCGAATGGGAGCGAGGCAGAAAGAGAGAGGAAGAATGAGAGCGAGGCAAAAAGAGAAAGAAAACGAGAGTGAGAGCAAGAATGAGAGCGAAAATGAGAGCGAAAATGAGAGCGAGAGAGACAAAGAGAAAGAAGGAGAATGAGAATGAGAAATGATGAAAGAAGCAAAGTCAGAGAATGCGACACATATAATATGTGTACGTACTAAGTGTTTATGTCATCAACTATTCTTAGATTGATTCCAATTTCGGTTTTCTTAATGCGAACAGAGAAAGGCATTGAATCGTCACACAAAATTGAGAAAGACATAAAATTGCCATACTATCCAGAATACATTCATATTTTATGCAGAGAATCAAATCACATAAATTCCCATAGTACCAAATCGATTGATGCTTAAAACATCATGCTTTAAAAACAAACACATTTGCTGTTTGAAAACATTTTTCGACGATGATTCTCTGTTTGGGCCGTGTTATGTTCGATGTGAATTGTGTTTATCATAACATTTGACTAGTTGTATTATTTGAATATGAGCATTGTTCGTATTCAATGAATACCATTTATCATATTAACAATGCTCGTTCCCATTGGTTCAATGCCAGAAGTGCCTCGACTAATCACTGTTTGATACTATCGTCGAAAATATTATTAATCGATAATTTTATCTGTGGTTTAATAAATTTGATATTTAAAATGGGAAATATTGATTGAAAACCAAAAATGACAATATTTAAAATCGTCATGCCAGAAGAATTAATTTAATGGACATAAAATCCCATCATAACAATAATCATATGCTAAGAACAATATCGCACGAAAAACCGTTGGTAACGAAGTTGTCAATAGAAATGTATGGGAAATATTGTTTGGACACCTGCTTTGAACCAACGTGCAAGAATGATTTGGATTATTAAAACAATTCACACTCTAATCCATTCAATCCATTCAACTCATCGAACTCATCATTTTATGTGTGAACGCTTGTTTCATTTCAACATTGATTATTAATTTCATACAATGATTGTTAATTTGCATCATCCGCCTTTTTCGGTTTCATCAAAACTTATTTTGTATTCAATTTCGAAAATAACATTTAATGTATTTTTCGAGTCCACGCTCAAGTTTTTTTTTTCGAAAATTTTCCGCCCAGTATTTTTACTTAGATTTTTACATTACTTGTCATTTATTCATTTCCTTCCAAATAAATTTTATACATTTCTGTCTGGACCATAACTTTAATTTACAAATAAATACATAATGTATCCATGATTTTTTTTAGACAAATTTCTTCATCACATTTTTCGACCAGAAATTTCTGGCCAATTTTTGTCTATTAAAATCCTCTATCGAATTTTGTTCATCACTGGAAAATAAGAAACAAATTAAAAGCATTTATAAAATTTAAAAAATTTCTGTTAGACATAAATCTATTTGTGTGATCGAAAATTATCTATTTATTGTGTTATGGACTTTATTCAGGCTGGCATTTATTTTTTTAATTGTGAAATTAGAAAAAATTGAACCTAGTTTTTTTTAATTTAAATTATTCTCTTGAAAAATCAAAATAATCAAGAGTTCTGTCATTTTCCATTAATCAGAGCTAAAAAAAAGTTTCTATTGATGGCAAAGGAAATTTTTCCAGAGCAAAAAATATTATTTCAGATCCAAAATAAAATGTCTGATTTCTTCAGTTCCTCAATTCATTACAAGAAGTTGAATTAGAATTAGACTAATTGTTCAATAGACAAATAGAATTTTTTACTTCCCGTTCTTTTTCCCTGTTTAAGAATGCCATTGTAAATACGTAAAAAAGTATTTTAGAAAATGAATTCTTGCAAAAATTCAATTTGCATGCAAATATATTCCCGAAGGGCTTGCGACGAACAAAAATAAATGAATTATTTCCAAATATTCGAAATATTTCAAATAAGGTGTTATATTGAATATTCTTATGGGCAATTTGGCTATTTCATACGTCGCATTCCCTTCGTATATTTCATCATAAATACATCTAAAATATGACTCAATCTTGATCGACACAACTGTTGGTGAAAAAGTAAAAAAAAAAAGAATTGGAAAATTTCATTTCATGCATTAGGTGAGATATCTTTAAACACAATTTCAACTGTTTAAAAATGTTTTTCTATCGAAAGAAAATCGTTTTTTATGTTAATAAGGAAATATAAAAATAAATTGACCTTCCTCCCATAAATAGCTGGTATCATCATTTTTTTTTGTTCAAATTAATTAAAAAATTAGAAAAGAATTGAATAGAGTGTTTTGTTTGTTTGTTTTGTCTAAAACCAGATAACGAAATTTCGATAAAGTTCAAACGTTTTATTTGCATTTATTAAACCATGCCAAATTCAGATATGTTAAAATAACCCGTTGTGTGGTTTATGAAAAGCATCATTTTATGATGATCATAATGAATGAGTTTCTTCAATGCAAATTTGTAGTGACAACGTCGTAGCAGTGTGAGCCTGATTTATGTCAATGCACGTTTCTCATCGAAAAAAAAAATGTTTCACCTGTTGGACGATGTCCAAAATCTGAGTTTAAATCCAAATTACCATGAAAAGATGTTTCAGCTCTTCAATTTATTTAAACCAAAAGAAAAACGGATGTGTGTTGTCAAGATGGGAATTCGAATTTTATTTACATTAAATTTCATTAAGTTCACTTTATTCCATACACGAGAAAAAAAAGTATTTTAATAAATCGTCCCTAAGAAGAAGAAAAATGAAAATGGTCGACATTTGGACTCGACGTCAGTGTCACGAATATCGTGCAGCAAAGATCAAATTTAGGTTGACGACATGTAGAAGCCACCACCAAGTGATTCAAATTGATGTGGCTGCTTTTTTTAAAGCAAAAATAAGAATGGTAAAAATGAGAATGAGAACAAAATTCAGTATTCTTCGTGTGTTAGTTCGGTGTTGACATTCAGACCACGTTCTTTGAGAGCCTTTGAGATGAGACGATGTTTTTCGTAGCGTTGTTCTTGTTCTCGTCGTTGTGAATCCAATATGTCTTCGACCGACACTTCTTTGAGCGGCAAATTTTTCTCCTTATCACGATCGATTTCGCCGAGCAGCACCACATTTTCACCACGAATTATGAAGATGCCTCGTTCAATGTCACCGTATTCCGTACCCACGTGAATCCGTTCGATGGTTTTGTGCAGCACCAAATTTGCAAATTGATCCACCGATCGCAGGTATCCAATCAATGTTCGACCATCACGTAAAAGTACCATTAATTTTTCTGGAATGAACGAAACGATTTGAGTGTGTTGAAGTTGGGAAAAATGTGGAGTAATTTAAGAAAAAGAAGAGTTTTCTTTGACGATGTTCAAATACTGGGCGGAAAATGTCAAGAAAATGTTCATAAATGTTCAAAACTGTTAGGCAATTGCAATTTGCAATCTGCAATTGAATTTGAATTGAACAAAGAAAATACTTTTGGTGCCGAACACTATTCGAGAACTTATCAAAATTGAATTAGATGTCTTTCTTCAATCGAAATTTTTCTCTTCAATAAAAAGCCTATGCCAACGGACTGGTGCCACCGGTAAACAGAACCAATAATTAACAACTGACTTTTGCACCGTACAAAATTCATTCCACTAATAATCATTCTTCACTATGATCAATTGGAACAAATTGCAGCGAAGCAAAATAATCGCGATTCAACCGATGCAAAATGCAAAAAAAAAATAAGAAAATATTATGCCTACTGTCAACTTCTTCCAGCAAGTGTGCGGTGCCAGCCAATGGGTTTAGGTCGTCCATTTTGTGTGTGTATGTTTTTGTCGCAGTCAGTGTGGAACTGCAAAATGTTTAGGCTAACTAGTTATTTTCCTCGTGATGATGCTTTAACTTCTGTAAAAAGAACGAACAATTAGAAACGGTGCAAAATTTCGAACCAAAAAAAAAATTGATCAGTCTCTTTGTTCACTGAGTGAACTTCACTCTCACCAGAATCGGAGACTTCAACTAACCTGAATATAATGCACCTCCTTTCAAATCATTCTCACTTCAATGTGTGTCGGCTTTTTGCTATGGCTTATGCTAATTCAGTTAAATTCACCGCTATCTCCTTGATTTGCACGACTTTTTTTCTCCCTTCAATACCAAAAATTCTGCTTCGTTCTTCTTATCCAATTTCAATTTATTGTTGTTGTTCCATGAAACCGTGGTTAGTACAGAAAACTATACCGAATCATGGTTGTTGACATTGACAGATGCCGAACAAGATGATTCAAGTTTGAAATGTCAAAACTTTTGATACACACGCACACACTTGAAGCTCATCTGGTCTCGAGTAGAACGGTGAAAACCGAGGATATTTGTTGACTCATTGAAACGATGCAGAAAATAACAAAAAATATGGAGAAAAGAACTGGGATAAAGAGTGAGTTTTTTGGTCATTAAATCGAAGAAGTCATGAAATACAAGGTGAAAATCGAAGAAAAAATTTAAGAAGCATTTTTTCAATTTCTTTTTCGTTTTATTCCAAATTCCGAATCCTTTGCTACCGATTGAAATGCATGAAAAGAAATCGGTAATGCAGCATCCAAATCGCTAACGATGATTGTGCATTTCTACACATTTTTCCAGACTTCTGATCAAAAATCAATTGTTTTCATATGAAATACCACAAATTTCAATCGAAAATCCCGAAAAATAAAAAAATGAAGCCGTCTTTACTTGATCATAATCAAATGTCTACAATTGTTCCTTTCCCAAAGAAACAATCATCGCATTTCACAAACTTTGCCGCTGATTCACATGAATCCGAATGTGATTTTGACAGAATGGACTTTGACAGCTCCACCAAACCGATGTTTTTACGTAACCAATACACACGCAAGTTCTTCATTCGCGGATATTTCACTGAAAATGAAATAAATCGTATGATTGTGAGAGATGGAGCGAAAAGACTAGCGAAACAAAGAAGGAAGAGCACACATAGTCGATTAAAAGCACGCTTTCGAACAAGTGAACAACGAGTGAAAGAGTGAGCAAACGAAAAATCAAAAGAAAGAAAATAGTAGGGAATAGAAAAAAAAATTCGCTGTAAAATAGATGACAACGTTCGAAACGTTGTTGTAAAGAACGACAGCGTATTATTTCTGTGTCACATATTAGAATTGACTTGGTCATGGGCACTGTACGGCTCCAATTGTTACTTAGGTGAAAGAAATTTTCGATTTTTTCTTCTCGGTTCATGTGATTTATTGATTTTTTTTTTCTATTGGAAATTTGTTTTGCATTCGTGAAATGCATCAACGTAATGTGTATGTGACGATTAAATGTGGAGTGTGTGTATTTATATTTTTCTCTCTTTCTTTCGCTGTGAATTGGATCGGAAAATGAATGTGTGAATGAATCTTGCACTTCGGCCAATTTGTGTGAGGTTTTTTTGGTTGAGAAATTCTTTTTCATGAAAAATCATTTGGTTTTGTTGTTGCGCTTCTTTTTTTCCGACAAGGTTTTTCATCATTTTTATTCCTTTAGTACATTTTCGGTTGGTGGTGTTGTTGTTGTTGTTGTTATGATGTGTGCGTTGTGCGTGTGTTTGTGTCTGTGTTTATGCCGTGTTACATTTTATCTCTAGCCTAAAATGTGTTTGATTGTAACATTAATATTTTTTTCGTCGCTTCGTGTACAGACAGGTGATAGCCTTAAGAACATTTTCGGAGAAAATCCACACCATTTTGCAATTCATATTTTTCGCGGACGAATTCTATGACGCATTTTGTGCTTCGGTGACAGCTTTTATTGCGTTTTGCGGACCGGTTTGAGTTGGCAAGAGTGTAATCGGGAAAAGTGGGAGATAGAAATGTATTGGGAAAAAAGTTTACAAGTTACAGAAGAGAGTTTTGTAAAAGAAAGAACAGAAGTGTAGAAGGGAGAAGAGAATTTTAGAGGAAAGGATAGAAATGTAGAAAAGAGTGCGAGAGACAAAATAGTAATGGAAGAAAATGAGTGTGTTGAAAGAGTGAAAGAGAAACAAAACAAAATATTGAAAAACAATGAAAGGGAGAATGTTTGAGATTGTCAGGAAGAGAGAGGAAGGAAGAGAAAAGGAAAGGGGGAGAGAAAGGGAGATAGAGGGAAAGCCGAAATAGTCCAAGAGAGAGAAAGAATCAGACCGATTGAGCAAGTAGAATGGCTGGAGCAAACAAACACAAATGTTCGCGGCGTACTTTCGTCATTCGATTGACATTCAAATTGATAATAATTGTTGTTCAATGGCAAAATTTTGATGTTGATTTCTCTGTTTCCACTTCCATTTTTGCAGCTGAATAAGAAGAAACACGCATCACAACATCCGAAGGAACTAGAAATTATTGTTATTTTTTGATCGCCCTGAACGCGTGCGCGCAGCTGAAACCTGGCTAACACCGATTACACACATACCACTACTATAGTTTAAATTAGTGAAACAGCAAACATGAATTCACTGTTGATACCAACATGCTGCCGGCAATTGATTACAAAATATGGCCATCGATTGAACGCTATCAAATTGAATGACGGTTGTCAACACATGTATCGATGTAAGTACGATGAGAAATGGGCTTGTGAACTACTACTATGAAAACGGTGTCAATTCATCGAAGTGCAACTCGAATGCCAATACATGAGAATAGATAAGTCATCGGCCAAAATTCATCTTCATCGATTCAGCTGATGACTTAGAGAGAGAGAAAAAGAATAAAATGGTAAAGAGCAAACAAAATTCATTCCACACAGAAAACCTCCAAAAAGTGAAGAAAACACAAAAAAAAACTAAGAACAAACACTGAAAAAAAGGCGGAAAACACCCAGAGATTGCATATTTACTGCTGAGTAGGCCTGAGCTGAGCTGAATTTGCTAACTCAGGCGCCTGAAGCGGTATTTTAGCGTACTTACGGTGCAAAATTGTCGTAGCACGCTGGAATTTACCCAAATATAATTAGAAAAAAAAAAAAATCAGTGGGATTTTCAGCGTGCCACGACAATTTTGCACCGTAAGTACGCTAAAATACCGCTTCAGGCGCCTGAGTTAGCAAATTCAGCTCAGCTCAGGCCTACTCAGCAGTAAATATGCAATCTCTGAAAACACCTTTAGATCGTGTCATAAATACGCGTTTGATAAAAATTATTGTGAACAAATCGAGCTAGCTCGAGGTTAAAATTATAGCAAATTAAAGCATGCACAAATGCAGTGTAAATAGCTCCGAATTTCATGGTCACATTCATTCGGTTGTGTTTTCCACATCGCAGTAGAAAGAAACATTTCGTTTACAGGACTTTTTTTGCATTAATTTTTACGTCACCTACTCTGTTCGCGGCGTGGAAAGTTTTCGAACGTTTTGATAATGCGAGTGTATTGGGTGAGTGCGTGTGTGTGTGTGTGTGTGTGTGTGTGTGTGTGTGTGTATGTGTTCGCACTAGCAAGCTCGGTGTCATTGGTTTGTTCGCGTGCGGCTCACTCAAACATATGATCAACGCATGGCATCGTTCATTTGTCATTCGAGTTGCGCAATTCCAAATTTTCTATTTCACACTGTTTTTCGGCACTTTTCTCGCCGACAGAAAAAAACAAACAACAAAAACATGAAATCATAAAGAAACAAAATTTTTCCATTGCAGCAGCAACGAACAAACAACATTCGCACATCATTCGTCAGTATTCGAGTCGATCGCCGTCATTGACATTGGATCGCCTAGCGCTACCATCGTCTGTATGTTTAGTGAATAAAGAATTATGGCACAACAGAGATTGGCAATCAACGTATACGATACGATCGTTTTCGTTGAGTTCGGCGCTTCGGGAGCAGGCATCGTCGAAGGTGGAAGAAACGGTGCGTAAATTGCAGGAGAAAGAGCGTGAAGAGAAGGAATTAAAGAGCAAAGCGACCGCATCATTGGCCGAAGCCACAAAGCCAACGGATGTTGGGATAGCGACATCATCAACGAGTGCCACCGTCGCTGCCACAGCTGCGGCCACATCGGTTGTGCCAAAAACAGTGAAAAAGAGCCTTAAGCAACGTGTTTGGGACGAATTAGTTCATTACTATCATGGTTTTCGGCTATTATTCATCAATATGAATGTAGGGCGTAAATTGGTCGGCAAATTACTTCACGGTGAATCGCTGACACGGCGAGAATATCGCCTGTTGATTCGCACCACCGGCGATATGTTTCGTTTAGTGCCGTTTTCTGTGTTCATTATTGTTCCATTTATGGAATTTTTACTGCCCGTGTTTATTAAATTCTTCCCCGGCATGTTACCATCCACATTCGAAACGGCCAGTGATCGCGAGAAAAAGGCACGCAATCAATTGAAAGTGAAATTGGAAATGGCGAAATTCTTACAAAAAACCCTCGACGAAATGGACATGCAGAATAAAGAGCATAATTCGGAAGAGGCCAAAGATTTTGTACTCTTCTTCAATAAAGTACGATCGTCCGGCGAACACGCAACGTTTGAGGAAATTATTAAATTTTCCAAATTATTCGAAGATGAAATTACATTGGATTCGCTGTCACGACAACAATTGACCGCCATTTGTAAATTATTAGAAGTTGGGTCGCTTGGCACCAGCAATTTTCTCAGGTTTCAACTGCGCATGAAGCTACGATCACTGGCCGCCGATGATCGCATGATCCAGCGCGAAGGCATCGATTCGCTTACCACACAGGAACTTCAAGCCGCAAGCCGAGCAAGAGGTTAGTGACATCATGCAACATGCATGCAATGTCTTCATAACAAATTAAGATTCAAGATTTCGAAATTTTTTATTTTTTCCACTTTTGATTTTCATTTTGAATTGAAACTTGATTGAATATTTTTGATTATTCGCAGGGATGCGCGCCTACGGCCTCTCTGAAGATCAACTGAAGCGGCAGCTGGAAGAATGGATACATTTGAGCTTAAACGAAAAAGTGCCTCCGTCATTGTTGCTGCTCAGCAGAGCCATGATGTTGCCCGAAGAAATTCCCTACGCCGAAAAACTCAAGGCATCCATCTCATCGCTACCCGATGCGGCCGCCATTCAGATGCGTGCTGCCATTGGCGAACGTGAAGGCAAAATTGATAACAAAACACAAATCGAAATCATTCGAGACGAACAACGTAAAATCAAAGAGGAATTGGAGGAAGCCAAAGAAGTGGCGGCCACCACCGAAAAGGAAAAAGACGTCTTACTCGATACAGCTAAAGTTATCACAGACGATATCACACACAAGGACATCGATTTGGTTTCGGACGCTTTGGATGCTGTCTCCGATCGAAAGAACATGATTATCGAAAAGGAAGAAATCAAGGAGGTAAGCTGATTGAGAGCACGGTTTTTGTGGTTTGATTTAAGTGAAGGCAAATTTGGGCTGAGTTTCAAAAGTGGGGATTGAATGACAATATTCGTCTCTTCTTTTATTTCTTCCACTATCAAAAACACAATTTAAGTGGATTTATTTCACTTGTTTTCAATCAAGACTGGGGAGTTTTTAGTCGAATTTGATGATTTTGTACAATTTGATTTTTTGTCAAATTCGATACAAAACGTTTCAATCAAATAGTCAAGTTTAATCGATTCCAAACATTCTCGAACAAAATTCATTAAACTTGATTACAAAAAGACCGGCTTGATAAAAAAAAATTGACAGAAACACTTTGAAATGAAATTAACCACAAAAATCAGTTTTTCTCCGGAGAATTTCGTCCATATGAATATTTTTCAAATCACGATTCATATTTTCATTTTCAGCTCAAAGAGGAGATCGCCGAATACAAAGAAGATGTGGAGCAACTCAAGGAAATCGCCAAAAAGTCCGATGTTAAGATTAACGTTCGTCAATCGGCAGCGGCTAAAAGACTGCTCAAGAAGGTTGATGCTATGATTAGCAAACTTGACAATGTCATGGACGGATTGGAGAAGGAGAAGAAATTACAAGTCGACAGCACCGAAGAAAAAACCAGTGAAGAGCTTGTTCGAATCGATGAGGTCATGAACGTTGTGCGAAAGGTAATGATATTTTTTTGGGATTTTTTTTCCACTATTCATCACTATTCATGAAATAATAATTGGTTCAACTTGTTGGAATTTGATATTGGTTCTAAATATTTCGTTGCGAATCAATTCGAATTGTTTCTTCAAATTAATTTTCATTCTATTTTCTCTTAATGCGAAAATCAAAAAAAAAAATTCTGCAATTTTTATAAAATTTTCAAATTTAATTGTTTTCGGTATTTTCAATTTTCGTTTTTAATTATCACATTTTTCATCTATGAAATATTAAACCAATAAATTTTCAAAGAAATTTTTCGTACGAAAAATCGGAGGAAATTTCCTATGCAAAAGTGGTTCAGTGGCCCAAAAAATTAATTGCGATATATATTTGAGTAGCTACCATTTGACCAATGTTTCGATTCTGCCCTTTTTTCTTCTAATGATTTGTCAATTTCTTTCGCTTCGAAAAAGTGATTGAAAAATAGAGAAATTTATGTTTGACTCAAATATCTCATTGTATAAATTTAATAAAAGGAAATTTCTGACATTTTTTTTTCATTTTGTGAAAAAATATAGATGCAAAAAGCCACAGATCAATCAAAGATGGATCAGATTTCAACGTTCTTAGAGCGAATTGATGACGATCGAGATGGTCAATTGAAAGTGGATGATGTCTTGAAGGTAATGTTTTGGTGTCATTCTATGAACTCAAGAATAATTTGAAATCAATTAAGAAATAAATGAAAAAAAACTGAATAAATGTCAATTTGCTTGCAGATCTTCGAAACAATTGGAAAGGAGAATATCAAATTGAACGCAAAACAAATTGATGAATTGCTGGATCTAATATCGAAAGAAGAGTATCTGGAGAATGAAGAGAAGATCCAAAAGGCATTAGAAAAGAGTAAGGAGGAGCGTGAGCAACGGCAGCAAGAGAAGTCACAAAGTAAATCCACAGAAGCGGCACAGGGCGATGAAACGCTAAAAAAACACGATGACGAAAAGCATATTTTGGACGCCGAAAAAACACCTACTTTTGACTCTGTAAGATACTTTCAGAATTTCAAAAATGGCTTCAAATGAATGCTTTTTCCCTGTTTTTCTTCTCAATTGATTTTTTTTGTTATTTATTTTATTCAGACTTTTTTTTTCATTTTCTTTCCCCAACTCTCTAATCTTATGTCATTTCGTTTTCACATTCCAGAATGAAGAACTTCTGCAGAAAAAGATAAGTGATCTGGACTTGAGCGAAAAATCGACGAAAAGTCCAACCAAGCCTAGTGTGTAATCATTGATCATACGTTGATTTAAAACAAAATTTAGGTAATTTAATGATGATAACGAATGAAAATGAGGAGAAACATTATGTTCCACTTTTTACGATGTAAATACGTTTCCCGGAGGAAAATTATCGTGTAAATTTTTCGATTGTACAATTGTATGTTCCAGATGCAATGGAAAACGCTTAACAATAAAAATGCATGATGAAAAAGAGAGTAGTTTTAAATTGCGACCTTTCTTCTAGTTCAATTGAAAATTAATTGAAAAAAAAACAAACATTGTAAAACCATCCCAAAATCGCTTTGTTCAAGAAAAAATAATTATGACAATAATAACGAAAATCGGATAAAGACGAATTTTTGGAGTTTTATTTGTGTTTGATGGCTAAGACGGGATTTCATCAGGTTTCTTCAGAATTTTATCAGGTTTTATCAGCTATGGACTCAATTCACTGTAACAGAACAATCACTAAAAGGCTCTATTGTGAACTCAATGATAGAATCAATGAGAATCAACTTTCAACATAAATGGAACATTTAATACTATTTATTTCAACTTTCCACCAAAAATTTCAAAATTTTCCAATGCAGAAACGACTAATTCGCATTGTATCAAACGAAAAAAAAACTGTTATTTAAATAAAAGTCATTTACTCATAGTAGATTTATTTTGAACGATTCCCACTTGAAAATGAGTACTTTCAACGTTTCTTCTTACTTTTCTTATTCGAATTTGATTGGTTATACCGTTTTGGCTTTCATAATTTTTTTTTTCTTGGAATAACGCAAAATGAAATTTTGAACAAAACACTTTCTTAATTGAAATTACATCAAAAATTTAAAATTATTCATTTTCATCATTCGGTCTGGATTTAAGTGAAAATTTGAATAAGAAAAACCATGTAAAAGAACTTGAAAAAACACGAAGAAAACGGTTTTTCTTAGAAAAATCATAGCTGAAATGAATTTTTTTGAGGTGAAATATTTGTATTTTTTTTTTCATTTAATTTTTGGAGACAAATGGGACGAAAAATATTTCTGAGTCTTATTATTGTCTATTTATGAACGATGAACCTTCGTATTATTCTTTGTTCACGAATGTTCGAATATTCTCAAAACAAAAATATCACATTTTGTTTCTGTCTATCCTCCTAAGGCTCTCCTATCTTACTTCAAATAACATTTCATAAATTCACTATTTTTGTTTTGAGATACGATGCAAAAAGACAGATTACAAACCGCCAAATTAGCAATTCGTTATACATTTTTGCCAAGCTGAAGAATATGGCTGTTATTTCATTCAATGGAAAGGTCAATTTAAATGAATTGCTGTTTCCAATTTTAAAAAATGCAAAGAAAAGTTTAAAGAAGAAAAAATCCAAGGAGAAACCCCGAATTTTGGAAATTTTTCAGAAAGTCATATTATGGCGAATTTTTTTAAATTGTATTAATACGACTGTTACTGATTTTATCGAAAATTTAAATCCCAAATTTAAAAGAAATCATCAATCCTGAATAGGTAAGAAAAGTTCTGAGTATTTTTTACTATTGCAAGTTTATTAAGCGCTTGAATATTTTTTTTTATTTTTTTTCAGTTTGAATTAAATTATGAAATTATGATTGAATTTTGCTAGGCATTTATTCCATTTGGTTTTCCATTTAAAACGAGCAAACAATTTCATCATTCTCTAGCTGATCATTTTTCATTATTATCATCCATGCGTTGTATGGAAAATTTCATTTTATTCAAGACTTATTCATGATGATTTTAAAAAAAATTGATCTAATAGTAACATTTGTTGAAAATAATTTAAAATTAGATCAGATTTAAATAAAGTTTATCCCAAAATCGATTTCAATTTTTTTTCTTTCAATTAATCAATTCGATCATTCAAAAATTGATAAGACATTTCTAAAATTTGTTCACGCAGTTCAATATTTTCATTGAAGTTTAAACACATTTTTCCTATAATTTCTACAAAATCAATAAAATAAATTCTCTTAAATCATCTGTTGATTGTAATTTTCTAGAATAAAAATTCTGACCTTGAAAAAAAAAATCCGAAATATTATTTTTCGTCAAGAAAAATCAGAGGTAATTCAAAAATATGATTGCATGTAAAAAAAAGTCGCTTGTCGAAAACTCATCAAATAGTTTAAAAATAGTTGTTTAAATTCAAGAAACCCCATTTGGCCATTGTGGTTTGTGCGAATGCCAAAAAGTGATTTTTTAGTGGCACCACTTTGACTAGCTGAACTGAAAAATACCAGCCCACCGCAAAACGATCTAATTGCCTGTTCATTAGTACATATTATCTGGTTGGTTTCTGTGTTCACGTGCCAATGAATCAGAAGAATGAATGTAGTGTGACATAACATTGTGCTAGATTCGGTGCAATGCGTTCGTCACCGATTGACGAAAACTTCGAAAAAGTGATTTATTTATTGCATAAATGCAACCACATAGTCATATCCAACTCTCGAATAGATGTCAATGAAAAAGCGTTATCAACAATGTTGATAATGACAAAGTGCAAACAAATAAATATCACATAATTTCCGGCGTTTGCGACGGATGATTCGTGAACAAATAAACCGAAATAAATTGCGCTGTTGTGTTTCGAGTGCGGAGAAAATCGAATGTGACGAGCACAGCGAATTGATGGCACGTGGAGGATGATTTAACGTCGATATCGAAAAAGTGTTGTGTTATGGCGTCTTGGAGTCGAAAGATGGCAGCCGCACACAGACACTTACACATGTCACAGATCTCGATTCCAATAAAAATCATACGGTATAATACACGACAAACAGCTGGTTTAATGTGAATGTGGACAGAATAAGAAAGGTCAAAAACGTTTCGGTGTTTTTTTCTCTTCGCTTTCGATTGTTGCGGTGTTCTAAAGCGGCGACAGCGACGACGACAACGGCTGCGATAGATATTTTACGTAAGCTGCGATACGATATATACGGATTATATCCATTTGACATACTTACAAGTGCGAAATAGACGACGGGCTCCGCATACACGAACACGTGCAACAACCGAACGCACACAATCGCAAATGTGATAAAAGACGGAACGAAAAAACGGTTGTGTTTGACAGTGATGACGCCGCCGCAATAAAAACATATGTTTGTATTCGCTGCGGACTATCCTAACAAGCAACGCACACATGGTGGCTGAATCGCAACCGCTCCACGCTCAACCAGAGAGAGAGAGATAGAGAGAAAAAGAGAGACACACACACACCGATGATGAATAGCACGTTGAATGAATAAACACACGACAAACGCGCTCGAATTCAAGCAATGAAACATTTTTTTTTTTGGTTTTATTACACAAAAACCAAACAAACACTTTCCTAAGCAGTTCATTTTCTATCAACGTAAATTCCAATGAAATTGTGAAAAAAAAAATTTCCATCCAAGTGAATTAAACGTTATCAATTGTGTGGTGTAGTAAGGAAATATTACAAAAATCATTCAGAATTTTCTGTGAGAAAATTGTTCATTATTCAAAAAGTTGAACATTCTGATGAGAGTTGATTTCATGCATCTGTAATTTGCAACACGAGCACGAATCTGTTTTTCGAGATTGGAGAAATAATAACTACGAACAAAAAACCATCAACGAGAAGCCATAGGAAAAATATCTAGCTAGCATATAATCAAAACAACACTAAACTCATATACGAAGAAAAACGAAACAACAAAAAACTAAATAAATATTCTATTAGAAACAAGCACGAGACTGTGGCATTGGTGATTTGGCGGTTGGTACGACGAAAGAAAATTTCCGAAGATATCAAAAGGCAACGGACAAACACGAAACAGTCATAATAAGAATAACAAACGAGAGCACACATTTGAAGTCAGCTGTTACTCTTTTTTTTATTTTGTCGGTGGCGAATTTTTCATCAGAATTTTCTCATTAGCACTGTTTCTCGCCGTACGATTTTCGCTGTACGTGTGTTTCGGCTGTACAAAACGTTTGTTTTTTCTCTCGTTCTTGTGATATCGTGTGTGAGTTTTTTTTTCATTCTATATTCAAAGTGTTTTTGCGACCAGTCGGTAGAAGAACGTGTTTTTCTTTGTTCGGGAAAGTGAATTTTTTTTTGAGTGACTAGAAGTATGCGAAGGATTTATTTCAAATACACATTTGGAGACACACATTGGATTTTTTAATTCAATTTGACGGAGAACACTTTTGACGGAATTAGCAAAGGACTCGAGATATCGTTCTGAAACTGAATCGAAAAAATTGTGAGTATTTTCATATATTTCGTATGCATATGAAACGGCTTGCGACTCAATGGAATTTTTAAATAATAAGCACCTTTGGTTATATGACAAATGCCTCGATAATCAACATGCACGGAAGATGCGATGGAATTATTTTTGCACATACAGTGATGCTGGGTTTGTTGTGCAGTTTTTTTGCTCTGTTATTGTATTGTGTGTATTATGTGATTTTCAATTACATAAGTTGATTGTTTTTAGCGGATCGAGAGCGTGAAATTACGTGAAAGCGTCAAACAATGTGTAGATGCAGAGATAGAAAGACAGAGAGAGAGAAGTGGAGGGAGAAAGATAGAGAATATAGGTAAGGAGACAAAGGGACAGTGAGACAAGAGTCAGGGAGGCAGATAGGCAGATTGACAGAGTGACAGAGTGGTAGAGAATCAGAGGGATAGAGAGACAAATAGAAATAAGGAGAGAATAGAAAGAAATAGAGGAAAAAAACCCGATAAATAGACACATCAATAGAGTAAACGAGATAGAGCAAGAAGCAGTCGTCGCGCGTAGCTTTCTGAAAAAGTTTGCAATGTTATTAACAGTCACTATCTACATTCGAATGCATGTGTTACTTAATTGCATACATTTCGATTCACACGGTTACTGAGTGAGCGAGAGAGACACGGACGGAGTGCTTGTCGGTGAGTGCTGCGTCATTGTGGTCGTTGTCGTTGCTGTCGGCTTGCTGCTGTGTGTGATCAGAGTTCGTATTGAGGTCGAACCGAATTCTATATAGAATGCATAGCTATAGACACCATAAAACTCCCACAACTTGCTCGGGATTTTTTCCCTTTTGCACATGCCGCTCGTATTATTTTTTTTTTTGCTGATTTGATGAAACTGACGCAGTCGAAAATGCACGGGGCAAAATTGGAATGCGTTTGTATTCTAACGCAATACTGTCCCAACGATTTGTGTGGTCATTAACATCGGCTCTTACGTCAATCCACCCAATATTTGCCGTATTGAAGTGAATTTTTTAGAATGGAATTCGCGTTATCAAAGTCTAAAGTGAATTTGCGTACGATTTGATGGGGGAGCGCAAAATATGCCAAACGACTACACGTCAAACGGAACGGAATTTTGGCTCGTTGAACGGAATTTTCGCTCGTATGGAAAATTAACAATTACCCAAATTAAGTCATTCATGGCCCATTACATTCGGCATTAATACGCACATTGCGTGGGTTGATTGTTTCAAGCAGGAAAACGTCGTGCGGCGGATATTTGAAAATCGCTTCTCAACAACCGAATTGAATCTCTCACTTTTGCCGACCTTTTCAATTCTCATCAAAACCCGTCAGCCATTTGTTTGCCGTTTTGCACGCCTCTTTTGTTCTAATAACTAAATTGAAAGAAATTAACCGAATTTCATGCCGTTCGTTTCCACTTGATTTAAACGTTTAACTGTTTTGTTCAACGTGTCAATGTCAAATGAAATACACACATTATCCACATATTCACGGGCACGTTTGCAACGCTTATGCATGAATTTGTGATTTTCTCAGCACCGACACGCTTCATTGAGACAATCTGATTCTTGGAGTCACATAAAACAACGAATAACACATGACTTTGCACCGATTTCTTCTGTTTTATGAGAAAATAAGAAAAAATTGTGAACACCGCAAAATTTTCATTGAAACGTGCTTTTTCGCTGATGCGACACATTTGCACTCGTTCCACATCATTTTATTCGTTGCACAAATATTCATTTTTTGCAAAGCGATTCAACAACAGAGAAAAAAGAAAGACGCCATTCAAAAAGGGAAATATTCTTGAGGAACTAAATTGACTGGAACAATATTCTCAATTTCGATTCTTTAAGACGATAACATCATTGTTTTGAAACAAACAATTTCAAAACAAATTGTTAATGATAGGCCACTCAAAGGAAAATTACAATTAGAATAGACCGTTTGAGGAAAAACACTATTCAATGTGGGTATTAATTTATAATTAGTTCGTTATTATGGCGATATGACACTTTTAAATTGAGGACAATATTTGCAATTCAAGTGCCATTGATGAGCATTAGCTCGAGATTATAACGCGCATTTTTATGCAATTTCAATCAAATGGGCTCGGTTTTTTTAAGCGATTTCAAGGTGAATTTTTCAAATAATTCTCGAGCAATTATTAGGGCCCCAACGAAGTCTTGTTCAGTTTGGAACTCAATTTTCAGTTTTGGATTCAACTTTGAGTCCAGAGCAAGTTCTCTTAGTTTTGCGTTCAAATTTTTCTTGTAAACTCAATACTTTAGTTTTCAACTCAATTTCCCATACTAATTTTTCGACTCAATTTCTCGTCTCAATTTATCGTTTCAATTTCTAGTCTCAATTGAGTTCGAGAGGAAGACTAGAGTCAATCAATCAATTTATGAACAAAATCAAGTCATTCTCAACTCGATGCTATATTTTCAGCTCGTTGAGTCGACTCCAGAATTCAAACTGAAGTGTAAGAAATTTTCAAAACCCAGAACTGAACTCTTATCGAAAGCCACCCAAGTTTTTCTTCTTCTTAAGCCATTCAAAGTCCTTATTGCATATTTTTGCAATCAAATTCATGTAAAAACACCCTAGTGGTTACTCAATTCATAATTCTAGAGAAAAATCCAAGAAAAAAGTCACACCAGTTCGTCTCAGATCCGGATCAATAATAATCGTTAATGCATTCGGTCATACTAAGCATTATCCAAAATTACCAGAATACTCATGCGATGACTCAGTGAAATTTCACAATAATCCATTGATGTGACGTCACGATTTTCGGATCGAAAGCCGAACGGAGAAGAAGAAGAGCGCTCGCCGTGGTTCGCTGTGAGTTTTGTGTGAAGAGTGGAAAAATGAGCAAACAAAGCAGAATTTTTTTTTTGAAATGTCGTCGTTGTCGCCTCGCTTGTGATATTTTGAGTTGTGCGCTTTGAATTCGTTGTACAGTCTCGCACAATGTTGATGCATGGTGTGTATCGTGTGAAACGGTCTGCGGATAACGCTTTTCGACGAATCCTATATATGTATCGTATTACGGAACTCAATATAAACACATCATCAAACTGTACAAAACTCTACGGCACAGCACGTGTGTCGTTGTTGGTTTCGTGCATTTGTGCGAGACGGTCCGGGCCAATCGAGGTTTTGGTTTTTTTTTGAAAGCATAATAAATTGGTTGACCTTTTCGAGTGCAATTGGTGGTTCAATTAGATTACCAAATGAGTTCGACCTAGGTCCCTCGATCACAAATTCCAAACTAGATTGCTTTGTTTGTCGCTCATTTTCGAACATTTCATACGACAAAAAAAAACGAGCCGTCAATCACGACCGTGGTTATCAAGAGATTTTCTTTTAAATCACACATATTCAAAAGGAATGCTCCGGGTGATGCGTGTACGCGACTCGCGTAACGTAGCTACGTGCGCTCGAGCCGCAAATGTGTGTGAGTCTGTGACGTCATTTAGACGAGCCCCTCAAAAATTTTAATCTATTTGTTTGATGAACTGGTCGAGCTCGTTTGTAGCTCTCCATGGCGTTCGCTGCGATCGATGGCCATACAATTCCATGTGCTTGCACAGAGTGTTGCGGACACGGGTCTGTTGTTTTTGTTGTTCATCCTATTCGCAACACCATATGTGTGTAAACAATCAGCAGACATACGTAATGCTTTGCCATTTTCATTGAAAAGAAGCGACATCAGAACTTCACCGATGAGAAACAACACCAACGGGCTGAATTGCGCGTAAAAACTTCTCTATCACAAAATATCGTTGTGACTCGTGTTCTCGTTCCCATAACAATTTTTTCGCCTCTGAAAATGTCACTTGACACATCAAAATTGTCACCTCAATTCGAATGACTCAGTGTGCTTACAAATCGAATGAACGGAAAAAGAATAATAAACCATTGTTTTCTGATAAAGATAATGACAATTTATTTGTCGCATGATAAGAAATCATCTTAATTCACAACGCTTCTTTTAGACACTGTTTTCGAATTGAACATTTTAGCAACGACCGATTACATAAAACATCATTGTCTCGCCTGCAAAAATTCATACTCCAAACTGTTTGCTCGATTGCATCAGCTGTTTTTTGCTTCTCGAGAGTGAAGTTGACGACTCTTTTTTTTTGTATGGAACGATCGTTGAAGAAATGAAGCGTGGAGACTAACACAACAGTGCTAGTGTAATAAACACAACAGTATTCTAATGCAAATTTCTAATTTTCTTATTCATTAGCTAATAGATACATTTTTCGATACAAACAGTGAGAATTTCAAAGTACAAAGTTCTTCGACGCAGACTTTTACTGGAATTGCATTTAAGGGGGAATTTATTGCGAAAAATTAATATATACTCAGATTTCTTGTCAATTTACATCAAAATTCCCTGTCAAGTTCTCATTGATAAGAACATTGATGATGTTTCATTGATCAATACAAACATTTGGTGTAAAAATAGAAGCGAAATTCTTATCAATTGAAGAATTTTAGCGAAAATGTATTTCTAGCATTGTAATATGAATGAAAGTCCTCTTGATCGCGATTGATCACAAGCAAAAGCGTTGATTGAAATCACGAACAGAAACATTGACTTTTCGTTCACGATCACTTTTGTCTCGTTTTAAACAATGGTTACACTATTTACATCGTATTCTGGTCGATGTTTAAATTATAGAGTGAATGAGAGTGAGATAGAGCGAGGGATGAGCGAGAAAGATAGAGAGAGAGAGAGTGAGGGAGAGAGAGACAAATCCCTGCTTTAGTTTTTGTTATTTTTTGCTTATAATCAAATAACAATTATTTTGCATTCGACGAATCAATGAATAAACGAATCTATTATTTCTTGGATTTTTCTCAACAAACCCATCAAACAAACTGCACACTAAAAAATATCTGTAAAACTTTACACGATAATAACAATCAAAATGGGATTTATATGACGAATCGTGTAAAACATTAAAATATCGTGTAATTTTTAATGTTTCAAAGTTCGTTCGACAGCTCATAAAATCGTTCAATTTATTCAAAGAATGGAAAAGAAAAAAAAGCGAAACGATTGGTTATGACGATGTTCATAATTTGAAATTCTCAGATTAGACCATTTTCCATCATCCACACGAAATGGTTGTTTTTATTGCCATTGTCCATCGTATACGTCGTAATGAAAATATTCAACGTCGACTGATGAAAAATGACGTATTCTTGTGAAATGACGTTTCCATTTGTGTACCAAAGACGAGCGTTCAATGTTTTTCTTCTTTTTGTTCTATAAATAAAATTGATCACAGGATCTCTCGTTCGTCATCTGGAACAAAATAAAAAATGGAGTCAAGATTTCTCTTGATTTTCAGTCAAATTTCATTGTTCACCGTTCATTTATCAAACATTTCAAGAATTATTATCGAAGATTCAAGAAAAAAAAACTATCTGAAAATGTCATTTAATTATCAAATGGTCTGGTTTGCCTAAAAATCCGTGTATGTTGCTTTAAACATGTCGTTAAAACCCGCACCTGGTCGGCAAAAAAAACAAGTTAAGGTGTAAATTTCCATCTATGTTTCGTTGCTATTGTCACCGAAACGTATGTCTGAGATATCATTCCGTTCGGTTGCGTTTTTTTTTTCTCTTCGTTACCGATTGTTTTTTCTTTCTTCTTCTGTACGTCGTTGGGTTCGGTGACGCTGACCGCCGACTTTGGATCGAATAAATCGATTGTATGACACTTGTTTATGCATTCGTAGTAATATGCTGTTCAAAAAAATTGTTTTTTTTTCTCTCTGTGTGTCTGTCTGTCTCCCTCTCTTCATTCATTTTCGAATACACACAATAAGTGTGGCATTTTTTTCTGTGTATTTTATCTGATTTTTCATCCTCTTCATTCGTTCATATCGATGAATAAAAACTATAGCCATTCACCGATTTGAAGGAAATATTTACCTGAGTATTAATCGAAATCTGCAATCGAAAGGCTGAAAGAGAGATAGAGAGAGCAAAGAAGAAGTCAGAGAGGGAGAGAAATTGGAAGGAAGACATAGATAAAATGTATGACACGAGCGCGCGTTCACTCGGGGCTCGCGTTCGCGATCACTTTGTAATGATTGCGCAAAAAATGTGTGTAAAATTTATTGGCAACCATTTGAAAAGCGTCGTCAATAGCGCACGTAAATGCATACAATTGATTTTTATTGAAATGATCTCAATATGAAAGATTCCAATCGCCACAATTCCTCACGTATATAATAGTAATTAGGCATTTTTTTTATCTCCTCTTTAACGTACATTTCTAATTCATTCTTTTTGTTTGTCGTTTTGTTTACGGTCATTCTAGGTTCAAATAGTAAGCAGTGTGATCGTAGTCTTTTTTGTTCATTCGCCTGTTGCTGTGTGCTGGCTCACGCGCGCGCTCTTCTCTCCTCCGTACACTCGATACGTGGTATTCTACATTATACGTATGTATAGATGTAATTTCTCAACGCGCCGCAAACCTTCTCTCCATAACGTCACCACCGTTTTCATCGTCGTTGTCGTTGTCGCTGTTCAACTTTGGATCACACACCGTCGTCAATTGCTACATACATTCACACACACATATAGTACGTACGCACACGAACGCCCAGCGCAATCAGTTTGGATATAGCTAAGACAAACGTGACGTGACGCTGGCTAGCTTTTCTCTATATCATAAACGAATGTAAACGAATACGGGAGACACGAAGCAGTGAGAGAACGACAAAAAAGAAAAAAACTTACATACAACTGAACGCGTCCGATGATTGCATATAAAATCGCTGGAACACGTTGCCGTTAAATTTATTCTGTGCTTAGAAATTTCGGTGACCAGACCAGACCATCAAACGCTCTTCTCAACCAAAAGTAAAACCAATTCAGTGAATTTCTTTTTATCTGAATTGCAGCCCAAGTTTTTGTTATACAACGTTTTAGTTTGTGAATTTAAAAATAAAAGTGTTTGATAAATTTTCGTGTTTAAAAAGTGTCAATTCCTGTTTAAAACCAATCGCTCGTCGTTTTTATACGTTGGACACATATTTTACCGTATTTTTGAAACTTTTGTGGAATCGTCGGCGTTTCAATTTTTTGTTCGATCGCCGTTCGATATACACACTAGAAGAAAAGAAAAAAAAAGAGATTTTTGTTTCGTGATTCATCGAGAGAGAAAAATTAAGGACAAGAGATATTATCAGTACATTGCATCATAATATTGAGTGAAAAAAATTACCACAAAATAGATTCGTGTTCGTTTCGTGAGTTTTGCCAAAGACATAAATCGATTTTATACCGTACAAACCGACGGAAGCAGCTAATTGTTAACGAATCAAAAGGGAATTCAACAAGCTCACAGCACAAAACCACAAAGTGCCCGGCCAGCCGATTTTCATTGTTTTCCGTTCGCCGAAAAACCGTCATAATTCTCTCCAATCAGATTTTGAAAGCTGTTCGTATACTGGGAAAGAGGACCTCCGCATCAACCGTTCACAAAATGGCTCACGAAATTGTTGATTCAAATGAACTGTTTGAACCAAGGTGAGTGTCATTTCTCTTGCTTTTTTTTTGTTGGTTAAGCAATTTTTTTTGTCAAGCAATTTTTTTCGTTATTAGAAAAAAATATGGTTGTCTCTGTTTGGCTCGGCCAAATAGAGTACAATCAATAGATTTTAAGCGATGCGATAGAAACTCGATTTGAAACGTAAGTGTTAAGGCTAGTGTAGGCTTACTTTTGTTGTTGCCAACATTTGAATGTCCTTTTTTTATATCGTTTCGTCTTTTCGAACATTTACATTAGCAATATAGCCAATGGCTACTCGCCATATGTCTTCTTCACACCAACATATTTTTTAATGAACACCAAATAATGTTGTTGTTAGTTTCGATTCGAAACTACAAACAAAGTAGAAGCGACAACTGAAAGAAGCGACAACATTTTATTGATGAGTCAGGGAATACAATTTAGGACGCTCGCGCATACTCACTCAACAAACAATATTTAATTAACGGTGCAATTCAATGTGCTTGAAATACATTTTTTTTCTTTTGCCGTTACTTTTACACGATACTCTTTTGATTATCGTCGTTAGGCTACGCAGAAAAAAAGAAATCCAACAACAACCATTTCACTCAATGAAAACATAAAATATTCTTTATTATCTACGGCACGCGTTGTTGAACTGAATAACTTCGAGTACTTTTCAATGCAACAACAATGAGAAATTGCGTCCAACGATTTCATTTTGTCTAGCTTAATACATTACCATTGTTGAGTCAGCACCAATCTTTACTCTGCGCCATACGATATTGCTCTTGTGATACTGGTTTTTATTTGTTGACACAACGTTCAGATATGAATTTTAATAACGATCTTTTTGGGATTTTTAACTTAGCTCAAAGTCTCCATGCAAAATTTGTAACGACTCTGAACATTTTGCAATGTAGCATATCCATTGAATGGGATTTCGACATGGAAATCTATTTGCTCTTTTTTCTTTCTTTACTTTTTTGAATGAAGTTACTTTTATGACTAAATAAATGAGTAACTCAGGGAGTTACTAACTCACTCATGGAAATCGAATATCGAGTTCGAAGATGTCTTTTGTTGACAATTTCATAGTCAATTTCATTAAAAGTTTCTAGTTTAGTCTCTTCGGAAGATTATTTAATAAAGATTAATTTCTATTGGAATCCAAAGAAAAAGCCTTTTCTGATGGCATGAATGATTCAGGCAAACTGAGGACTTTTTGCCAAACGAGAATGAGCCAATCAGTTGAAGAATTGGGAAATTCATTTGTGAGATTTTTTGAATTGATTTCAGTCGCTCAATCTCTTTTCTCGGAGAAAGTGTCTCCATACGAACTTTTGAGTAACTAGAGAAAAAATAGTTTAGAAAATAGAAAATTTGACATGTTTTGCCAATATTTATAAATAATAAATAAACTATGTACTATAGTACGAATGATTCGAATTTAAATCAGTATAACATCAATATATCGACCATTCCACAGCAAATCAGTTAAGAATTGGATCGACCGTCCTGGAATTGGCTGAAAATTGGCAAAAAGTTCTTGTTTTCGATAGAAAATAAGGAAATCAAAATCTTAGGGCTGTAAGTGGCCTCAACTATTCAAGTATACTTACTATTTACTACCATAAACAATCTAATCTGGCCAACTTGATTGAATTTGTTCACAGTTCTTTGGAATTGATGGTAGTCAATATTTTTTCACATGAGCTATAGACAGTTATGGATGAACAATAAGAGCAAATGTGAAAATGGATTTGCGATTCGAAAAATTAACCGCAAATTTTGAAAACAAAAAGCAAATGTTCGTGAATGAATGAAGTTCATTGAATGAGTGAAACACTTGATACGAACTTAAAAAGCAATGGTTTAAATGTTCAGAAATCAAACCATTTAAAAAAATCTACAAAATACAATGATAGTTTGAAAACAATCCCATCGTCTTATCTACAAAATAGATGAAATGCATTTTTCGACCGACTGTGAAAAACTAATTAAAAAAATTGCATGTCGGAAGAAGTTTGAAAAAATAGACAAGATAAAAATATGAAGAAACTGAAAGAAGTTGAAAAAAAAAACAGAAATAAACTGAAAAGAAAGCAACAAAAAAAAAATCTCCGTAAACAAAATTTTTGTCCCAATAACCGGGCGTAACGTCCAGACGGCAGATTTTTTCGTTGAACTTGGAACTATTGCGATAGCGATCGGATGCCGACAACCGTTGTCTGACAGTGCGTCTCGTTTGACACACAAAAAAGCTCTTCTTCTCAGCTCGCCTGACTTCGGAAAGTTCCAATCGTGTCAATGTCAATAAAATTCATTTTAAACATTTTTATATGTAAAATATTATCGCGACAACAGAAATTTGCACATAAATGTGTTTCGATTTTATTTGTTTTATTTCCTATGCGATTTGATTGCTTTTTCCATCAATTCGATTGGTTCAGATTGGTTGTTAATTAGACGCCGTTTAATTAGAATATTCGACGGTTGTTTATTTTATTTGTTTACAATTTGTTTGCGTGATTTCTTTTATTGGTTTTTGTTGCGTTGCATTTGTGCATCATTTCCTTTTAAATTGACAAGTTCTGCATCATGATTTTGTGGATGGAGACGAATGTTATAGCTTAGTATGGGAGTGAGTTTTAGAGGCTTGAACGAGGTATTCGTTTCATCGAATATATGGCAAAGGGGAGTGTGCTAGTGCATTACTCACTGTGATTTTTTCTTTTTGCCATTTATTCGACGAAACATAAATTCTGGTACATGCGAGCCATCCAAGCATTTGATGTCACACTTGATCAGCGTGGATAATTCTTGAGTTGTTGTTTTTTCATTTGGAGTTTAATTGAGAACATGTGCCCATATCTCGTGCCGTTAATACGACTCATTTCGATTTTGTATGAGTCGCCCAATCGAGGTGGTTAGTTGGGGTCAGTGGTTGGCTGGCGACACTTCAGCAATTAAAAGTGCGGTCAAATGACTGCACAAAAGTCGCAACAAAAGTTGGCGGCATGCCTTTCCTTCTCTCACACATGTGTTTCTCTAAAACGTCAGCAACGATCCTTTCGCAATTCGAATACAATTTACAATACAAATTTTTGTTGGGTGACATGTAAATGATATCAAAAATGTGCGTAAACAGCAAACATTGCTTGTTGTATACATTTGCCTAGTCACGATGTTGAATGGTGGGTACATGGTGTTGAATGGTGGGGGAGCTTCATTCTTTCATCCAAATTCGGCCAAATTCGGCCAAAATCGGCGAAATCTCGAATAAATCTCGTATGTAAACCGAATCGAAAATAATCGACTAGCACAACCCATACACTCCAAAGTTCATAACGGAGCGCGCGTGGCTCATATTCGTTGTTTATCTAATTGTTGATATTTTTTTCTTCTTCTTTGCTTTTCATCGTTTTTTTATTTACTCGTTGAGATGCCGTCATCAATGGTCGCGCATTTAATGTTATTCTGTTGTTGGGTTCTGCGCCAAAAACCTTCTGAAATAAATTCTTCCTTCCGTGAAATGATTCGGCAAAATGGTTAAGCATCCGGCTCTCTGTCAATCGATTGAAATGACACATTTGTCAAATATTGTTCGTAGCCAGTTTTTGCAAGTGCTAACAAGACAATTGCATACCATAAATTTTCCATACCCATAACAAAAAAAACCGTCATGGAGTGTGTCGCTAATCGATTGACCACTTGATTAGCTCTGTTTACACGATAAAGTCAATCACTAGCGCTCTTATGGCTCAGTTTGTTCGTTTGTTCTTTGTGAACTTAAAAATCAAAGTCGAATTAGTTAAATCTAAATGAATGTTGAGTAGATAATGAACAATGGCGGTGCGATGAGTTTTCAATTAGTTCAAGTGGAGTGAGAAACAAATGGCGTGCACATTCATACACAGGAAATTCAATTGAAGACCCGTTTTTGCGTGCGAGCTGAGAGAGAGAGAGAGAATAACAAGAATATATCAACCGTTTTTGATACGCTTTAACCCAATGAAATGAATATATGGATTTCATTTCTTAGGCGTATTAAAACAATATAGTCTAAATTAGATCAATTTGAAAGCTGTCATTTTTTGCACGAGGCTGAAATTTGTTGTTTTTTTACGGGAACAATTTGGATAGAATCAGATGGGTAGATATATATCACCATATAAATGGTGATCGCATATTTGCGATTAGATTGTCAGTTACACGACGTCAGTTAATTAGAGAACCCATTTTGGCACTTATTTACATTTCATAATGCGTAAATCATGCGAAAAAAAGCTAGAACAGAAGAGCGATAGAGGGAGAGATAGTGTGAGGGAGAGGAAGAGAGGAAGAAAAAGAGAAAAGGAAAGAGAGGAAAATGGAGAGAATGAGTGATAGAGCGTGAAAAAAACAGAGGACAGTACACCTGAAAGAGACTGTGGGAGATAAAATAGGACCAAGAGAGACGTTAGATATGATAGATAGGGACTGAGATAGAATTAGATATAATGAAGTCGAATGAGAGAGACTGAGAAAGAGAGACAGAGAGAGACACACACACACACACAGAGAGAGAGAGAGACAAATGGAGAAAGATAGAGACTGATAGAAACATAGACTAATACTGAGCTCAAAAACTCTGACTGAAACTCTTTGTCCATAGTTAACAGAGCAGAAAACTTGAAAAAGACCAAAAGTGTACAATTCAATCGAACCCATGGATATGGTATGAGACAAAGTGTGTTTAAACAGCTGATATTAGCGATGAACTACCGAAATTGATAATATGAAGCGTGTGCTGCTTCACTTCACCTAATTCAAGTGGATTCGAAATATGTTATACTATATTTAATACACAACAATATCATTTCTTATCGTCACACTGCAGTGTTATTGTTGTTTTTCGTTAAAAAAAAAAGAACGCAACAACAAGCACAAGCATTTATCACCTGAGCAATTTGTTAATACAGGCCGAAACAGCAACAACACTCGTCCAACTTGTTTCGAATGATACATTCAGGTTTTTGTCATTCGCCTAGTCGCGTCGCTAGTATTGGTTTCGATCGAATGCGAAATTTAATTTAAAGAAAACAACTCCGGTTCATTTGTGCAAATGCTAGAGACACACACCCACTTTTAAAACGTCGTTCATTGGTTGTGTTGTACACACATCAGCGCCGCCATATTAATATACTACAATATCCATATTCATATACACTCATTATGCTTGTTCAGCGTAATGTTGCTGCTTCTTTTATTTCAGTTCGCTTGCTTTTTTTTATGATCGATCATTTATAATTGCTTCGCTCTGTTTTATTGTATTTTGTGGCACATAATCATATCATGAAACATTTTATTAAGCCACGTGATAGCAGTTACAGTGCGATTTATATCGCAAAAGTTCATCGCGACTCTCTCGGACTGGTTCTATTTTTCTGTACAATATTGTTTCCATTTGAAATGCACTAATGATCATACGCATAATCGGTGAAATTTCCAAAGACATCAATCGCGAACGATTTACGATCGAAAGCGAGTTTTTTTTTATTGGCAAAAACTTGTATAATATGATTGACGAAACTTTTATTTGCAAACATGGAATGAATGTGAAAAAATGGCAAAACTAGAGGGAGCGTGCTAATTTTGAAAAAAAAAATCCCTACTTTTTTTTCTTCTTCATTGTGATTTCGCTTAAAGCTCCTTGTTTTGTCTTTTCATTGTGACCTTTGCGCCGTCAAGTCATTGGACTAAAATTTCTGCCGTGGCGACATGGCGAGCCAGTTTTGAGACAGAAACGGAAAAAGCCACTTGTCGAACCGAAAAGGCAGGTACGCTGTGAACGATACAATCGATAATCGATTGTTTGAATAAAACAGCTGTGCGTGACGATTTTTTTCTTAATTTATGTCAACATCCATTTTGATCCTGTTTACAGGCTTGATATTCAATGCACGAACGAACGAGAGCTCAAGGAATGTTTGATTCTCGCTCGTTTTGTACAAGACGGCTCCCATGATTCGCTTGAGGGTCGTAAATATTCACAATTTTATGGCCTGAACAATAAATACTGGTTGAGCCGGTCCATTCGAAACGAAATAAAGAAAACTACGCTAAAATAGCAATTCTATGAAAAATGCCGATAATAAACACCAGACACTTGGTTGAGATACTTGAAAATTGACTTAAAAAATACTTTTTATCGAAAAAAGTTACGGGTTTGTAAACCGTATCTGTTGGGGTCTGTCGGTACAATCTATAAAAAATATTAAAAAGAGACCACAAAAAATTGATCTGGATGTGTGCGACAAAATCCACTTCCTCGACACACCGAGCGGTGTTAGTCAGTCAGTAGCTTTCCGCCTTTAAAATAAGGCCATATATTAATTTGATAACATTGTTTAGCTCAGCGCTAACTTCAGAACGCACACGAATCAAAAACAACAACAAACGCGGTGTTCGTTTGTATGCGAATGAACCGAACGCGCGTTTCTGTTTTACTTGACATTTGTATCGGGCGAGCGCTCGAGTCGCGCAATTCATTTAAAATTCAAATGGGCATTTATCGTGTGGAAATTCACTCAACGCCAAATTTATTCGTCAATTATTATCGATAGTTTCTCTATTGATTCGTTGAATAAATCCATGTTTTTGTTCACTTACTTCCAAATGCAATTCTCATCTTTTTTAATGTACGCCGATCGAGGGCGGAAGAACAGTTTTTTTTTCGCTTTGCATTTAGTTTCCCTGTGTTTTTGAGATCACGATGCGAGAGTAAACGTAGAAAGCAAAACAAAAATGAAGGTCAACTTGTCTATGTGTGTGTGCGCGCGTGTAAACACGTTGCGGCCGCAAATACCACAGCCATTTGGCTGTGAGAAAATTTGCCAAAAGCTGTCGTTAGATGAAATCGTATACGAAAAGAAAAACACACAAAAATATCCAATCGTTCTTGGCCTCGATTCTGGTGACTGAAAGTGAAAAAACACACACAGAAATCGATTGGCCCATTTGCTTTGTGTTTAAGTCGAAAATAGACACAGAGTTTTATGTTACGCCGAGATTTGATGCCATTTTCATCGATTTTCTTCACTTGTTCAGGCAAGATAAGGAGAAGAAAGAGAAAATTTAGCATTTATTACACTACTGCTTACATAATCTATTCGTCATTTTATCTCAACAAAACGCTATTTGCGCACAACGGAAATCAACTCGTTTTCCAATTCTCCCACAAGAAAAAAATTACGTTGAACACACAAAATTTGCAGAGAAAAACGCCTGAATCTCTACTATTTGCAAAGCTTTCTAATTCATCCATCAAAGTTTTACCGACTTTGACTTGGCTACAACACAATACTCTAATCGACATGCATTATTTCACTGTCATCTGATGTAACCTCGTACTATATGTTACAGTACAACAGCTATAGTTGATGCAATTGGATTTTTTGCTTTGGTTTTTGCCTCCGCTCGCATTTAAATCGATGTCACAAGAGATTTTTAGACACTTTGTCTTGAATATGGAATTTTTTTTATCTCATTTACGAATTATGCCAACGGAGTTTTTTTGGGTGTTTTTTTTCGCGTTTTATGAAAGTTTATCATAGCATTGTTGTGATATGAATTTCATTTATGAACGACCACAACTATTTGGAAATTAGAGCCGCGAGGAATGCTAATCTTATTTAAGCTTTTTTCAAACGCCGGTTTTTGACTTGTTTTAGATAGCAATAATTTTTTGTCGGATTGTATGATGAAATCGGAGAAATGTTTGAAATTTAACTTCATAGCATTGTCATTTAGGATAAAATGGGAATCTTTCGATATTCTTCTCGTAATTTTGCCAAATGGTTAATTTGTATCGATTTTAAATGATTTCAACTCGATTTGAGAAGGTTTGCTAACTTTCTTCAATTCAAGTTGAGCGCAAAATTTTGGAATCCATTTTTCGAAGAATTTCTATTTCATCATCATTGATGACGATTGATGATTCATCCATGATTGAGAGCCATCAAAAAAGTCTACGAAATTTTTCCGCACCAAAAAAATCCGTTCCACTTTGGATTCCAAAGTTTGGAATGATTAACTCAATACATCGCTTACCACTAAATGTCTTGGATGTATTGGCTGCCAAAATTGCAGAATATACCTCTTCAAATTGGTCCATGGTTTACAAGGTCAAATTTAATGACATAATCTCAAAACTGATGACTAATTTTTCTTTCTTTCATCATTGTTTGGTTGGTAATTTTTGTCTATTTTTTGTTTGCTTTGCAGAATTATTTTTAAAAAAAAGTCATTTTAGACCAATTTGAATCGATTCTTCCATTCTGAATACCTACCTTTTTTTCATTTTCTCCCGAAAGAACAGCGAAATTTTGAAAACAAACACAAATTTGGACCATCAAATAAAGAGTTTGACTCTGAAGTTAGATTCTTTGGATAAATGAAATATTTCGTCTTTGATAGAGAATAAAAGACTCTTCGAGATGAAAAATCGCCTCCAGGTTCAAAGTTTTCATCCCTATATCTAGACCAATGGTCAGGAATCCACCTGATAAATTTGTCGGATATATATAGAACCACCTGCCGAATCGAATGAAACAAATTTAATTAAATTCTGAATAAATTCCTTCGTTATTAGGAAGAATTTACAAAGCATCAACTAAACGAATATTTTCAACTCTTTCAACATTCCAATGGCCAAAAAACATCAGCAAAAACAATTTTTTGGCGTAAAACATCTGAGATCTCGGTTCTGTTTAGCGCATTCAAAATTATTACCTATTTATCATGAATTCGTTGAACTGTGCGAAAAAAAGGCACTTGTTTTGCATGTATGGAATTTTAAGTGGTAATTTTTGTTGTCGGTTGCTTTTTGTCGTTTGGTGTGAAAAATTCTGGTATTCAAATTTTTAAATTCCATAACAATTATGATTAATTAGCCGAGGCTGAGAAGAAGCGCAGCCAGAAAAAGAAGCCATTTAAAATTTCTTGATTTTTTCTCTTTGAAAAAAGAATATTTTTTGAAAATAAAAGTGAAATAATAACAACATTCCAATCAAATTGGTCAATTTGGGTTTGTTGTGTCGGAAGTGATCCAAAAAATTATATTATCGGCGATTGGATCGTCGGCACGAAATCAGGAAAAGTGTCGGGACGAAAACGCATAGCGATGCACGTCGTGTATTCCACAACATCAATTTCGTTGTATGAACTTGATAAAAAAAAACTAGGCACACGTGTCCCATTTGCATACAAACCACGCGCGTCAATTGTTTTGTTGCGGATTTCTTCGTTTTGTACAATTTTGCAAAAGTTCTTTCAGAGATAAGGATCCGTTAAACAGACGTTGGCTATGAATAACAAAGCAAGTGAGAGAGAGAGAGAGAGAGAGAGAAAGGCGGAAAGTTTAAACAGTGTGAGAAACAATATTGTGATGTCCGATTGCGATCACGACAGGAATACGAGCTGCTTCGTTTGAATTCTTTCAAATCTATTGCGGTTCCAATTGGAATTTCCTTCGCAAATTATTTTTTCGATAGAATCCACAGCGGAACCGTATTGTCAACTGTCCAATCTCTGTATATTATCGCTTCCGTTTTTAATTCAGATTCACATGTGAATTTGAATTAACGCGCAATTTAATCAAAATTCCACACGACAAACGGAGTGTGAACAAATGATTTACCTGAAATACCGCTCTGGTGGACTCGTTTCGCCTTGACAGCATGCATTTTTCAGAATCGACTACCAAGTCGGGTATTTCCGATTTGATACAGCTTGCTTAATTCGCAAGAATTTGGTGCTTTTTTGGATTGCACAACAGTGTTGCCAACTTGACTTTGTTTGAAGAGTTTGATTCTTTTTTTTGGGAAAAAAGGAAAATCGGAACGAGAGTGAGTGAGTGGAGTTAGATGAAATGTATTAATGAGGGAGGGAGGTAAAGAGGACATAAGAGTGAGTGAGAGAAGCTAAAAATGAGAGTAAGAGGGAGGAAGTGAAATAGGAATGGAAAAAGATTGAACCAGAAAAATATAGAAAGAGAAAAGCAATTAAAAAATAAGAAGAAAAGGAACGAGAAAATGAAAGATTCGAATACATTTCAAAGAGAGAGAAAGAGAGAGAGAGAGAAGATATTCGATAAAATCCAAAAAACACCATAACTGACAAAGGGGCAAAGAGGACGAAATCGGAGTATAATCCGCCATAAATGTGAAAATGTTCCCGTTTCCAAAGAAATGCGGCGTCAATAATCATAAACGCTAACCAAGTGTTAAACGACTCAATTAGATAACAATATTTGCCATTAGTGTAAATTAATTGTGCGAAAATAAACGGCTCCGGCAATAAACATAAATGTCGAATCAAAGAAAAATGCTCGATTGTTTGTGTTGTTTGGGGCAAATTGTTTAATCAAGATTACGATGGAGATGTTGCGATTTATACTTTCCGACCGATAATTTATGGTACGTAGGATAAGCGAAGCGTGTACAATGTGTTGCAAATGTAAAACAATGACGACACACCGATTTCCAGGAGAAACAACAAATTAATGATATAACGAACAATTTGTTTGGTTTGTGGGCGCGTACCGTGCCGTATACTCTATAATTTTTTGTTTCTGTTGCTCATCATAAGCATTAGTGGGTGATTGCATTCATTTGTCACCATCGTAAAACAATTGCATTGACAGCCGCCCATTTGGTGTCGATCTATTGTATTTTGCTGTGTTCGTGACATTTACCTTTAGCAAGACAAAAAAAAACACCATCGACGTACAACAACCATGCGAAACGTCATATGCTTGTTAGTCAGTTTGAAAGCTCAATAGAGTTTGCTCAAAGCCGTGACGACGGCGGAAAAAAATGTGGATACAGTGTGTGCGAATAATGAATGATTATTTTGAAAATGAAACAATGAGCCCGTGTGCGCACAGGAGCCTAACCACAATCACTGATTTAATCACACTTGCGGCGGTGAATTTGTTCGGCGCTTTTTTTTCTCGAGGCGTCGAATTTTATTAAACTTTAACTAGAATTCGCAGAATTGATCTTGGGCTTTTGGTTTTGTCAAACCACCAGTTACGTTTCGCATGTCATTTGCGGATCGCAATGAAACAATTTCGGTTTTTATTTGCAATAGATTGAATCGCAGCAGCTGTTAGCCGAACGAGTGAGGAAGCAACAGTTGCGGAAAGCACACAGAGAGTGGGAGAATTCTGTGTGTACTTACTCTATGATCACATTGCTCTCTCACACACTATCTCATGCGCTCACAATGTACTACACCGTTGATCGCTTGTTGCTTTTCCGCTGTATGTGCGCGCTGCCGCCGTCGTCGTTGCCGTGTGAGTTAGTGTTTGTGGCGTGCACAGTACTCTCGCTCGAGCGCGCCAAGTATTTAAAAAATCTTTCACTCAGTCTATCAATTCAGTTGTCTGTTTATTTTGGTGCTGGAACCAACGAACATCCAACACAAAACGAAGTGTTTTTTATTCCGACAATTTTTGCTTCTCGTTTCCATACAATTTGTCATAAGAGAAATCCAAACAGCCCTTCTCCAGTTTCTACCTCGATCATTGCTGTCTTGTGTTAATAATTTTTTCGTTGTTTTTTTCTCCTTCATTGTTGTTACCTACTTTAGAAGTGAAATACGCTACAGTATTTTGTTTTGTTTTCGGTTCGAACGATATTTTAAAACTCTTCTACTGTACGTGCAATTTGTGAGTGTATGTTGTGAAGAAATTCGGACCAAAACAACAACCGAAACAATTTCGAATTACAACAACAACATCAACAGCCGCAACAGAAACAAAAAAAGAAGCATTTGTTGGTATTCTCTTTGTCGGTCATTCGGGTTTTTCGATGAGATTTTATGTAATGTTCGGTATTGAGTCGGTGCAAAAATGCAAATAATCCAACAGTCGACTTAGTTGTGCGTTGGTGTTTGCTCCAATTGTTATTGATCAGTGTTGATCTGTCGATCGGCGCTTTGGTTGAAGTGAACATTTTCTGGAAAAGCATCCAACGAAATCGGTTTTTTTAAGTTCGAAAACACTTTTTTTCTATTTTTAATGACATTGAAGTGAGGCGAGTACGGACAAAAAATGCAAACCAACATGAAACGTTCTTCATAACGCCAAAGACAAACTGAGAAAAAAACTTTACTGAATCGGTCTTCAATGACGATTGTGCTACAACTTGGTTCCTCTAATTAGTTTCTGATAAGTTCGGTCGTTGCAGTTTTTTTTAAAACGCGTCAAAGCATTTGGGTGATAGTAAATTTTAAGTAGTTTTTATTTAGCCCGTCGAAGCTCAATTGTGATTTTATTGAAAAAAAATATTTTAAACCAATTTTCGAGTGGTTTTGAAATCAATCGCAAGTGAAAACGATCAAACAAACTAAAAGAAGTAGAAAAAAAACAGACAACTGTTTTTTTTCTCTTTGCAACTAAGTTCGAAATATTCAATGTTCGGCATCGATACACACGTTACGGTAACGCATGTTGACTCATACACAACGCCAAAAATTTGAGTGAACCCAGAGTAGAGAGCGAACAGCGCAAAAAAAAAAACAGCAGCAATATACACCGGAAGCCCAAAAACTCTTTTCGTGAATCAAATCGACGTTACGTTGAATTTTTTTTCTGCTGTGCTTCATACATTTTCCACAATGCCGTACACAATTTGATCGAAACTCAACGAAGCTACTCACATACATGAGCTCGCGCTTTTTTTTATATGTGCCAAAATAGCAAAATAACCAATTCATCCAACCAACCAACCCAAGTATAAAAACATAAGCAAGTAAATGAAATTTATGCTGAGTTTTATTTTATGAACAATTTTTTCTTCTGTGTACTGGAGAGAGGAGAACACACATGCGTTTTTTGGTTGATATTGGTGTTTTTTGGGCACTCAGTTCCGGCCATATCATATTCATATGTGTTTATCTTCTTCTCGTTCACAGTTGTTTATCTATATTTGTTTGCTCGGATTCCATGGATTTTGAATTTGACATTAGTGATACAGATTTTTTTGTGTTTCGTCGGTCTGTCACATACATTCCTACCGACACGACTCGAATATCATTTGAAAAAACAGTGGGGCGGATTGACTAAGAGGCCGATGACTCAACGATTTTGATCATACACACTTTTTTGTCGAACGCTTTGTCAGATTGATTCAACATGTTAGTACTAAGCCTCTTTTTTTTGTTAAATCAACTCTTTTTCGCATTGGACTTTGTTTGTTCAATTCAACGCCTGATGTTCTGATGATTCGGGTTCTGATCCAAAGTCGTCTTTTTTTCGCTGTCGAACCTCCTCTTTGCAATGGATGGCTTTGCATGTGACGACTGTTTGCAGGTATCATCGTCTTTTTCGTCGAATTCAATGGCTTTGTTTTTATTATCCAAAACCGCGTTCTTAGGAAAATACCGTTTTTACCCAGGTTCTTAACTTCGGCAACCAAACGCAACTCTTTTTTGTCTCTTATAAATTGAAATTCGGTGTCTTTTTAAAAAAATACTCCTTTTACAATTGAACGTATCGAGTATCAATTCCCCGTGTATCAATTTGAAATCTTTGTTCTTATTGAAATTCGAAGCCAGCTCATTCTAAACCCGCTTGAATCCAGCTCCTCGGCTAAAGAAAACTGAAATTGATGATGATTTTTAATTTTTCCACGCGTTTTTTCTACAGCATATTGATTTGGAATCATTTTTCTCTCATTTCTGCTTAAAATTCGAAGGCAAATTTGGGGCATTTCTTTCAATTTTGCTCCAACATCACGAAACGTTTGGCCTCAAAATCATATTTAGCAAAACTATCTAAGTCATATGCTATAGCAATGTTTGACGTTTAGAACTGCTGTGGAAACTTTGTTGGGACCAACCACAAATCTCTGTAACTATACGTACGTGTGAAAATAAAGTCTTTGTGTGTACGTTCGTGTGAATGCAAAGAGTCTATGTGTGCATTGTACACAGAGGTGTTGATTCGTTTGAACGTCGCATCCAACGTCGCATCATGTTAGGCGGCGCTATTGATATACTTTGCTTCAATCGTCAACAAAATACATCAAGTGTTTCTCCGTTTTGATATTTAGTTTCATTTTTGCTTCATTTTTTATTTTAAATTCATTTTTCGTTGCATTTTTCCCCTTTTAATTTGAACGAATTTCAACTGGAATCATTCAAAAAAAATTTAGGGAGTACTGAATTTACGAAAGAAGAGGAAAAAAGTGGAAGATTTCCATTTTCGTCCAAATTTCGCCTCTTTCCATGTCTCTCCCATCCCAAAACTCGAATTCCAATCCACTGTGTTTCAAACTTCAGTAAACACACGCTTCTCGTTCATATTCTCTGTTGAATAATTCAGATGGTTCTTTTGTTTGAATAATGCAGGAGATATGTTGATCAAGCACCACTCCTGATTTCATCAAAAGATACCAGTTACATTTGCACAAGAAAAAAAAATCGGAAACTCATTATTTTCACATGCAGCATTCCGATGAATTCGCAATATAGAACTCATGAAAAGCAAATAAAAATTGTAAATTGTTCTAACGAAGTGGACATGCGAAAGCGAGTGTTTGCTAATATCTCTCATTGAGTATGCAAAACACCTGTGAACGAAATAAATGAAAGAAAAGTCGAATAAAATTAAATAAAAATTTGTATACTCAAAATCGAAGTGATCGATTTGTTCCTCATTTGAATGATAGTGTAACGAAAAAAATCACGATCAACGATCCGTATTATCGTGGAAAATAATCACATTTGAAGCGCATCGTTCAATTGTCATGCGATCGCCCGCCACTCGTTCATTCATTCATTAAATCAACAGAAGAAAACAAAACAGCGCGCGAAGGAACAAAAACACGAATGCTTGGCGAAACAGAAAAAAATTTCAGTTGTTTGTAATTCAAAATTGTGCTATTGCGTCTATCGTGTTAGATCGATTGGATTCGATATTCAGAAAATTACACAAATGAATTTCCATTTCATTAGTTTGTGTTTTTTTTTGCTTGCGATGTGAACAGAACGCAGAGAGTGGCAAAAAAAGCAGTAAATTGTGTGTGAATCTTGATCGGTCAATCGAAGACATGAAATTAGCACACAATTGCTTTCGTTATTCAACAAAATATTTATGCGATTCCCGTTGCAAGGCATCTAACCGGAAACTATGGCATTTTCACCGAAAAAACAACACATTTCACTTTGCAACTGTTTTTGCTTTTCGTTCTGCGATATTTTTGCATTAAAAAAAGTCGATGAAGAAGAAGAAGAAGAAGAAGAAGAAAGAAACAGTATCAAACCCGGAGCTTGCTGACGCTTGGACGGACAATCAGATCAATTTATACGTGAAATTTGCTTAGATTTGCACGTTTTTTCAAGTTTAATTGGATAAAAACGGCTCTCCGAGCTATAAATAGCCAGTTGCATCGCAATAGCCACAAACATTAATATCAATTGACTTGAAAATTGCTGTGTGTCTCAATTGTCATTAGTTAGGGGCTTGTTGAGTTTACTTCTTTTTCGTTTCTTCAGTCAACGTGTGCTATGCATATATTTCCTCTCTGGTCCGATGAATTGCACCGCTTCGTACAATAAAAGCGATTCAATTGAAAAAAAAAAAACGGTGTCATCTACGGAGCGAATACTTATAATTAAAATAATGTAGCCACCTTTTTCGGGATGTAATTATGGCGTAAATTGCTAATTGAACGTATTTGGGCAGTAATTATTTGGCGGTTATTGGACTCGGATTGCTGGGGTTAGACAGAGATCGATGATATTGTTATTGTCTATTGACGATAAATAGAAAAACCAGAATTGTGAGAAGAGGGAAAGAGAAGAACATAGAGATCAAGTGTGAGAGTTGAGGGAGATAGCCAGAGAGCGAAGGAGACAGTGAAGAAGATATATAGAGAGAAAAAACAGACAGCGAGGGCCGAGGAAGAAAGAGTAAGAGAAGCAGAGAGGCAGAGAGGGATAGGAAAAAGAAGGAGAGAGAGAGAGGGGGATAGAAGATATAGCGAGTGCGAGACATAATTCATCTTATGTCGAGGTTGAAAAAAACTAAACGCTGTTGTCGTTCAATTCTATGACATTTTGACCTACAAATACCGATGTCTGCATGCAGATTCACTCATTCGTAATGGAATTAAACGCCAATTATTGCATAAAATAAACGCTTTTTGCTTGATGAATTGTCAATTACAAGTAATTGACCGATAGGATGATTTATTGTTGTATTTTCATCCAAAAATGCGATGGTTTCACGCAAATTTTCTATGTAATTGCATTTAAATGGTCCGTTTAAATTGATTTCATCATTTTTTTCATCTCTTATTTTTCGGCTGTTCTCCGCTTCATTTTTGTCGCTGTTTCTTTTTTCTCCTATTTTTCCTTTTCTCTTCATTTGTTCGAATTTGCCCCATTTCTTCCCATTTCGCCTCGTTTTCCATCACGTTTTTTTTTCTCTCTTTTTCTCTTTATCCAATGGATAGTATCCATCGTATTTCATGTTATTCTTTCGCTTTTCCTATTTTCCTCTCTCGTTTTGCTGCCCTCTTTCCACCACCCTTTCTGCCCTCATCTCTCTCTCTCTCTCAATCATCACACTTCGATAGTTTTCAATATTCTCGATTGAGTTCAAAATCATGACGCACTTGATCCAAATTTTCCGAAAAATGTTCCAGTATTTGTCCAACAACAACGGAGTATTTTTTTGTTATTGCTTATTCGTGGAAAAAAAAGGAATGCGACGGGGCTTGTCAATTGACGCACAACAGTTTTGGCCAATAAAACAAGTGGTAATTTGTTTACGATGTCTGTTTTTGCTATGTTTGTCAAACACCATTGTTTGCATTTACCAAAAAACATGAACAGATTTTTGTCTCTTCGATAATCTTGAAAAACTATTCTCTAGCCATCTGCTATATTTGGAGTTTTAAAGTTATTTACCTCAATTTTGTATGCCGAATTCCTCACTACACGGTGTAGTGTAGTCTACAACTGGATGGAATTTTTCCTTGGCCAATTTTCTATGAAGCAATATACATCGGCGCGTATTTATCTTATTTCGTTCACCGCATTTCATTCTTTGATAAACAACAACAGAAGAGAAGAGAGAAAAAATACGATAAATCGTCACTTTCAAATCATACGTGCCCCCGTGCAGGCCTCCACGTAATTACAAGTGTCATAAAAAATTACAACACTGTTGTTTTGTTTGCTTTCACGAATCTTGCGTATTTGTCGCAGACTCAAAGGTTCCAGTGTTCACCGTTTTCGTTGAATTTACGCACAACACTAATAAAATGCATTGAATTCCATATCGTCTGATGACGACAGATTGATATATGATAAACAGCAAAAAAAAAGGCGAAAAAATGAATAAATGTGATCAGTGCACGATAGAAATGAGACAGCATGACACAGTGATCGTGACTTCAGCCAACCGATATGTTCGATAACAATAAATAGTAACTGCGAAAACAAGCACACTATTCTAATCGGTCAACAAACACAAATTGCTGGGGGCCGTGACATTCAAATCAGGCGATTTAATGAGGCGAGCGTGTGTGAGAAATAAGAAAAAAAGATCGCAAAAATGTCGCTTTTCAGAGATGGAGACGGAGAAATAAGCACCTTTTTCCAATTTCATATCCAATTTAATTGGTCTTTTGTGTGATCAAAAAATTGAGAGTGTTGTGTGTGTCTGTATTTTTATGAATGTCACACGATCATTGACGAGAAAGTGTCAGCTCGAATCAAATAATAGACATGAGATTTCCGG